ATGCATCCATCTACGAAGATTTATATCCAGAGGCAGTTAAAGTTATTTTAAATAATCATTATATGGACGATTGTTTACATTCAACGACTTCTATAGGTGAGGCAATTGAATTAATAAAAAATATTACTGAAATTCACGGACACGCCGGCTTCAACATGCGCAGTTGGACGAGCAACAGTAAACAGGTAATAGATTGTTTACCCAATGAGTCATTAGCTAACAGCGCGATTCAACTTGAAGACGGCGCCACAGATGTAGTCGAGCGCACATTAGGATTGATGTGGCAGCCCTCAGATGACACATTTTTATTTAACATTTCATTTAACCGCTTATCGGATAATGTACTTAATGGTAGTGAACCACCAACTAAAGCTAAGATGTTAAGTTTAATTATGTCTGTATATGACATGCAAGGATTTATAACGCCTATAACAATAAAGGGTAAAATAATTTTACAAAATGTACATAGGAGTGGAGTAGGTTGGAATTACCCTATCCACATAAAAGATTATGAATGTTTTTTAAAATGGCTTGACGATTTAAAATTATTAGCACAACTTCGTATCCCGCGTTGGTACAACAACACAGGTACGTGGTCTGATTGTTATCCCCAAACAGAATCAGGTGATCCTGATCGAATAATCAACACCGAGATGCATATATTTTGCGATGCCTCATTGAAGGCATATGCAGCTGTTGTTTATTGGCGATTTATTCGCACGGATGGTAAGGTGTTTGTTTGTTTTGTTACTAGCAAAAGTCGGGTGAGCCCGTTACGACCGGTGTCCGTACCCCGGTTGGAACTCCAAGCAGCACTGCTAGCTGCACGTTTGGCGAGCACGGTCCGGACGGAACACACCGACATCACACCGACTAGACGGTATTTTTGGACAGATTCTAAAACTGTCCTCCAATGGATCAGAAGCGATCCACGTACGTTCAAACCGTACGTTGCCCACAGGTTGGGCGAGATAGACGAGCTGACACGAGTCATTGAGTGGAGGTACGTACCAACAGGTTTGAACGTAGCAGACGTTGCCACGCGTGAGGACGCGCCACCGCTCACTATTGACAACCAGTGGTTCCAGGGACCAGCATACCTCCGACTTCCCGAGGTGAGTTGGCCCGCAGACCTATGCAGCGCAGAAGAAATATACGACGAGGTAGCTTGCGAGCAACGTAGTGTTAACACTATCAGTGCTAGCGCTCCAACTGACCTCGCTTCGTGTTTACCAGATGAAGAAAGGTTTTCATCCTGGAAACGATTGCTCCGCTCGACAGCCCGAGTACTTATGTTTGTAGATAGATGCCGCAGAAGAAAGGTAACTTTTAATGTAGATCTTATGTCAAGGGCAGAAGAACTATTATTAAAAAAAATCCAGTCAGATAGCTTTTCTTTGGAAATTGATTCTTTCAAGCAAAAGAAAAGCGTATCTAAGTGTTTGTTTCCTACGCAACTTTGTCCGAAATTTGGACGACTCGACCAACGCACAACGAAACAAACGGAAACTACAAAACGTAACGACAACAACAACAACCAACAAACGCAATGACAACACCGAACCAAACACCACCAGGTCCGTGACCGGCTGTTAAGTATATGTGGCGAGACAAGGTACTTCAACATCGTGTTTAGACAAATACGGTCTCGCCACAGCGCCATCTATTAGGGCGTAGCAAAAACGGCGCCAACATTCCGCCCACCAAGAACTCTGTTCTTCTCCGCCCACCATGGTGTATCAATATATATTTTTGGGCATTGTGACTTGCTTTTTTCTGATCTCCCCAGTTGGGTAAAATTACAATCGCATACGTGCAAGTTCACGAGTGGGTTTGAGGTTTCATTTGGGGTTCCTGCTGCGCCAGAGATAACCCAACCTAATTTTGTTTTCTGCGCAATCGTTCCTGCCGAGCCTATCAATAAACCGTTCTCTATGATTTTTGCATATATTTCCGCTCCTAGCAAGATGTGTATGTTATTAGGCTTATCAAATGTAGGATCTGCTAGTGCGGTTGTTTTTAGTTCTGGCCAATCCGTGACGATGCACTCTTGTGACGGTAAATAATCTGTTATGCTCTTTAAAACATAGGCTTTAACAGACAGAGTAAAATGTGGTTTTATTCTAGAGCGTATTTTAAACTCGACTACATATTTGATAGGTATTTTGCTCCCTTCGTTGAGCCCGGTTACCGCGCTGTTGATTTTGGTTCTCTTGAGCCCTGCCGACTTTACAAGGTCCTCGGTAACAAACGAGGCCTGTGAACCCTGGTCAAGCAAGGCACGGCAGATGTGTGTCTTTCCGTTCTCCTCGCAGACATCTACCAATGCTGTAGCAAGCAGTACTTGACCAGGTTGTTTAATAAAATGAGTTGCAGTGTTATTAATCTTATGGTAATGAGCGTCTGTGTCTTCTCGATTGTGTTCTTCTGGTGTTTGTTTTTTTCCTGAATGCAATAAGGAATGGTGTTTTCTTTTACAAATGTTACAACATGTGTGTCGTAAACATTCTGTGGCACCGTGGTTTGGTATTAGACAGTTGAAGCATAAATTATTTTCCTTGACAAACTCTATCTTGTTTTCATGACTTAATCGGACGAACAGTTTACACTGGAAAATATAATGATCGCCGTTACAAAAACTGCATTGGGCTGATGTCTCTGACGCAGTGGAATGGAACGTTTTGGGCTTGCCTGTACTTGGTTTTGTATGATCTTCCACCATCTCCAATGACTTAAATCTCATTTCGAGAAATCGACATAATTGTTGGAAGTTCGGCATCATCTTACTGCTCTCCGCAGATACGTGTTGTTCCCATAACTGATGACTTGTCGGATCTAATTTAGAAACGGTCATGTAAACTAATATGTCATCCCATGTTTCTGTATTAATTCCAATGTTTTTTAGCGAGTTGAGACATTC